CTGGGATTACGGGCGTGTGCCACCATACCCTACTTCCTTTTTTTTAATGTGAGGTCTCACTGTATTCCCCCGGCTGACCCCCAAATCTCAGACTCAAGAGATCTTCCTGCCTCAGCTTCCCAAGCAACCAGGATGTAGGCACATACCACCAAACCTGGCCCTAATGCCCCTTCTAACTTTGTTGTTGCCTCCTTTTCTCTTCAACCTTAAGATATTGGGACATCTAAGATTGAAGCCTTCTTTACCTTTCCCCTCTTCCCCCAATTCTTAAGAATTTGAAGTAAACTTCACCCCTTTTTTTTTTGTCATTTTGAGGCAGGGTCTTTCTATGTAGTTCAGGCTGGCCTTGAGCTCACTTTGTAGCCCAGGCTGGTCTCGAACTTGCAATGATCCTCCTGCCTCAGCCTCCCGAGTGCTTGGATTACAGGGGTGCGCCACCATGCCTGGCCTACTTCATGCTTTTATAGTTCAGTGGATTTTAGTAAATTCACAGAGTTGTGCAACCATCAATGACAACCATCAGTCTCCAGAACTTTTTGATCACCCCAAGTTGATCCTCTGCATCTATTAACCAATAGCTCCAGGTGTCCCTCCTCAGCCCCTGGAACCCACTATTCCACTTTTTTTTAACACAGGGTCTTGCTGTGCAGTTCAGGGTGGCCTTGAACTTGCAGCAGTCCTCCTGCCTCAGTCCCCCCATTGCTGGGATTACAGGTGTGTGCCACCGTGCCTGACAGCCCACCGTTCTACTTTCTGTCTCTATGATGTGATCATCCTAGTTGCCTCATATACATAGAATCATGTGATGTTGTCTCTGTATAGCTGGTTTATTTCACTTGGCATAAAGTCCTCAAGGTTCATCTATGTTGTAGCAAGTGTCAGAATTTCCTTCCTTTTTAAGGTTGAAACATATTAGCAGTATGTTCATATACCAGTTTTATATACCCACTTATTCAGTGATGAATATGTGAGTTCCTTTTTTAAGCTGTTATGAACTGTATTTCTATAAATGTCCATGTAAAAGGTTTTTTTTTGTTTGTTTGTTTGGTTGTTTTTTTTGAGACAGGTCTTGCTGTATAGTTCAGGCTACCCCTGAACTAGCTATATAGCCCAGGCTGGCCTTGAACTTGCATCAATCCTCCTGCCTCAGCCTCCTGAATGCTGAGACTACAGGCATGCGCAACCATGCTCGGCTTAAAAGTACACTTTTTTTTTTTTGGTATCAGGAGTCAAACTCAAGATCTTGCACTTGCCAGACAGGCGCTTATGTGACTGAGCTATATCGACCCCATGTAAAAGATCTTTGTGGTCTTAGTTTTCATTTCTCTTGAGTATCTACTGAAGAGTACAATTTCTTTCTTTTTTTCTTTTCTTTTTCTTTCTTTTTTTTTTTTTTTGAGACAGTCTTGCTATGTCATTCAGGCTGGCTTGAACTCACTACGTAGTCCAGGTTGGGCTTGAACTTGTGGTGATCTTCTTGCCTCAGCCTCCCAGGTGCTGGGATTGCAGGCTTGTGCCACCATTGTCTGGCTTCTTGAACTAATTTTGAAAAGTGCTTACTCTTTATTAG